TCTGACATGGGAGAAAATAACTATATGATTTCTTACTGACTCATAAAATGTACACTGCCAATGTTGACTGCTCAACATCAAAGAATATTCATTTATTTATTAACTAGAAAGAAATATATGCTTTCAAGAAACTTCATGTGAGTTTTGTGCTTGTACCTGTCTTCCCCACCTCTCCATTCATTAAAATAAACCAAGAGCCTTTGTGGGTGGAGCATGCCAGGGTAGTAACCACTGATGATGCGGACTGACTTTGCATGGTACTCACTGCCACTTCTTTACCATGCAACTCTGGATGGGAATGTAGGGAAAACATTTCAACTAAGAGATAGGCTCTTGGAATAAATGAAATTTCATCTTGTGAGGGAAGGGTGTTGCATGATTTACCTAGTCCAGTCAATAGTGTTTATTGTTCAATGCAGAAAGGAAGAGCAGGAGAAAAAACCTTTTGAATCTGTGACATCTATGCAAGTGGCTCTCTGTCTTTAGCCTTGACTTTCTACCATAAAATTAGGGTAAAAAAATTAACCTCAGAGGTGAGTTTAGAGAAATTCACTGAACATATATTCATTAATAAACATAAAATGGATGAGAATCATGGAGATGTTGACATAGACCAAAGGTTCAAGAAATGTCTGTTGAATGGTTCCTGTAGGGTAAAAGTCCTTAGTCGGCCTCATTTTGCAAATTATTTTATTTCAATACCTAAATAGATTATTATACACACATATATTTTTATCATTGCTCTTGTCTCATTCTCTCCCTAGCCATTTTAACTGTATGATATCTGTATTTCCTTTAGTCTTACTCTGATATTGATATTTTATTTCAGGTTCATTAGCATATAAAGAAATGCTTAAATAATTATTTGCGAAACAGTTATTTTTCCTGCCTTGTGGAATTCTTGTGGTATTGATTTCTGGACTACTGAGTATGAGACAATGTCAAATATTTTAAACGACAAAAAATTATTATATATAGATGAATTGACTAAAATCTAATATAATAATCTTCCTGGTTCCTAAGGACTCTTTAGTATTCTTGTAATTAGAGACTGACTTTCCAGTTAATTTTCTCCTTTTTCATTTGCAATGGAAACATCACTTTTTTTTCAGGTAATTCTTTAATTTTAGCCTCATATTTGTTTGTTTCCCTGGTGAGTTCCAGCCCAGGACCCTGTGCATGCTCAACAGACATGCTCTCATCCCAATCCTCAAGATAAATGATATAAAATTTTTTGAAGAAAATTTAATCCCATCCCTTGAAATAATTCATGTGAACAGTTCCATTTGCTTCCATAAATTTATTTGTGCTTACACAAGGATTTACAGATAAATTTATACATATTTTTATTTTTATTTCAAACCTATACTGACAAGATAATAGTATGTACATTTTTCTAGAACTTGCCTTTGTTACTTAATAACAAATGTGGACATTTTATATAATCTTATTTTCTAAACACATCAGCTTCCTGTTTAATCATTACATGTGTTGTATCATTAGCTCATTGACTATAACGTGCTTTTTGTTATTTTGTCAGTAGTGAGTGATAAGGTTGCTAAGAGTTAAAAGTTAACTATCAAGCATTTGTGGGCCATTTATGTAGTGTTTGAGTCACCACTTAGTACTAATGAATTGATTCTCATACATTGAAAATCTTTTTTTTTTTTTTGGTACCAGGGATCTAACTAATGACTTCACACTTGCCAGACAGACACTTATGCCACTGAGCTAAATCCCCAGCCCCATAGATTGAAAATTTTAAAAAAGATTGATATGTGATTTCTGTCACCAGTGGGCTGAAATGGGACCAGTGGCTATACAAATCCATAAAGCTATCATGAGTTATTCCCAAAAAAGTCTAAAAATAAACTTTTTGTGTAAATCATCATTTATATCATAATATAGTTCATCCATGTCTGTGAAGTGTCATCCCCAGTAAGTACCTTCTCAGAATGCCTAGGTGCCATGGAAACAAGCAAAAAGTGAGATGGGCTTCTAATTGCAACCTCAAAAAATACATTTCAGGAAGTCTAAAAATCTACTGCATTGTATGAAGAAAAGTCTTAATTATTTTAGTCATCTCAGCATGCATACCAGGTATATTTTTGGCATGGCTCTTAAGAATAAGCATTATGATTTAATTGGCGTGCATGTATATTACAAGAAGGAGAACATTATATTAAGAGTTCATCAAAGTCCTCAGTTATCCATATAATATCATTGTATATGAAAATATAAGTGAAGTTAGGTGATTGCTTTCTTTCATTAGTGACAATATAAGTTAAAAAGGAGAATTAAATTGCTATCCTAAGGGACAGCTGCTTAGCTACCTATTTGTATATCAACTTTCCTTCTCATTTTTATTTGTTGTCAAAATCAATATGCTATTTGGAGACAGCCAAATTGTTTCTAGATAACTGAGGAGCTAAGATTTGGAGAGCAATACAAATTCAGTCTTATTAGGAAATTACTTGAACTTGGAGATATGAACCAGAGCCCTAAGATTAAATGGCTTTTTCATGGTTACTTTAGACACTGGTCATATACACAAATTCACTTGACATCTTTGATTTCAGTCCTTTGTAAAGGCCAGTGAAGATGTGGGAGGGATGATTCTTTTTATCCCTCCCAGTGCTAATACTCAGTGATCCAACAACAAAAACAAAAACAAAAAACAAAAAGCCTTTTTGTATGTGATTGAATAGTAGTGTGCAGAAGCATTTTGGAGAACCACTAAAAATGAGTGAATTGATTTAAGATAAAAATGAAAAACTGAACAAATGGTTTGTTTTTATTCCTAATACTAGAAAACTGTGAGCTGTTATAAAGAATGTGATTAATGTTTCGATAAAAATACTTAGTAAAACATACATTTCCATTGTTTCTCCTCAGAATACTCTTCTCTTTGAACACTCTTAGCCATTTTTTGGCCACTTTCTGAAGCAGTTTGTAGTAAGCCTGTCAATTAAACCAGTAACGTCTTTCCTCATGTAGTTTACTCACTGGGATCTGGCCTTGTGTGACTTCTGCTTCTTCCTCATAACAAAATGACAATGAAGGGGGACATTTTGAATAGATTTTGAACATCCAGCCAGCCACAATGGTACAAGTAAAACTCATGAAAGAGTCTTCAGATCTGCTTCAGAAAGTGCAAGGAGAGTGGGATACATATATTCTAAGCAAGGAGGAGGATTTTCAGGGAATTTGATGACCACATGTCTTATTGTAAGAAATATTTTAAAAATTTAAGTATGTACTATTTTTTTATCATACCTCATATAAGATTTAAATAGCTACCTAAGAAGTAAATTTGAAAATAGTGGAATGTGTGGGGAAGAAAATGTGGAATAAGATGTTGAAACCTGGCAAATTAGCTTGAAAACTTCAGTGCTTCCATTTCCTTCCCAGTTCTACTTTACTGCAAAGTAAACTAAAGTCTTTTACACAGAGTTGTTCACTTTGGGGATTTAATAGATAAATTTTAAAAAAAAGCGCTAATTCATCTTAGCAAAGCACTTTAAGCAGTACATATGTTGTGGTAAAATTTCTCTTATCTTACTGTGTAGTCCCAGGAAGATGTGGAGTTTAGAGAAGATTTGGCCCAACACAGGTCAGTTAGATTAGGATTCATGAAAGATTATTTCCAAACAGAGCCATAAAAAAGTTGTACAAAAGGCCCTGTTTAGTGTTTTTTTTTTTTTTTTTCCTCTGTATTAACTTGACCTTAAATGTACACACAAGTTGTTCTGAGTGAGATTTCTTCTTGCATCAGTCCTTGCCCTGGCTTTTACCCCTGGCCAGTGGGCAGATAGCCAGGTCATTTGTCGCCTGGTGGTAGTTGCTCCGCCTTTGGTATAGGAATAGGAAATAGGAGTTTCTTGCTGTTAATTGAATGGGTGCTGGCGTCTGTATTCCTCCCACTTCAAGAGGTTCTCTAGGAATTTTTATGGACCTCAATCCTAACTATAACCCTTTTGTGTATTACTAAAATTTCACAGGAGCCAAATAGCTCCCAGTCTTGACTTTTGTGACACAGAATTGTCTAAGTTCTTGAACTTTGAAGAGTTCAACAAGATAAGCCTTCAACAAGTCTCCCTTTAACTAGGAAACTACTTCTTTAGATGACTTTGTTTTGAGAAGTGTTGTTATTCTTTTTAAATAAGAGCCATTAACAGCAGCTGAGGTTACCTGATGACAGGAACATTTTTGATGGAAGCAAAAATGAACATTCCCTACTTTGTTACACACATTGTCAGGCTCAAGAATTCAGGGTGGTTTTTAGAGGAATACTAAAAAAATCTATGGATTCTCCACATTTTAAATGTTTTAAGAGGGAAGAAATAAATGATGCCTTACAGATGAGAAGTAAAATAGTTTCTCGAAAATGAGTTGTGGAAAAATGCAGCAGGAAAGAGAAGTAAGGTAGTCATAATTGTAATATCATGAGAAGCATATATATTTGAGAATCCCTCTTATCCTTAGTACCTGGGACTGAGAGAATTTCAAAGCTATCTAGAAGATGGGATTTGAAAACTACGTCAGTGGGATATTTAGGAACTATCTTTGAGTTGAGTCACGCTGGGCACAGAATGCTGAATTCTCATAATCATTTTGAAAGTTCTAAACTTGAGGGTAGAATAATGTAAAGTTTGTATATATGCAAATGGTAGTAGCAAAGAACAACTTTGATGTTAGGTTTCTTTAATGAAAAGATTTTTAAAACCAGTAATCTTCTATTACTTAAAATATAAATATTGACTGACACTGTTTGAGTTAGCGAATGGGCTGTGAACCTGTAGTTTTCTCAGTCACACTGGGTTGAAATTGAAGGCATGGGCTGTAATTCTCCTGTCACTCTGAAAATATTTGATTTCTGGTTTGAGTACTTGAGTTTTGATCCTCGTACTCTTTGATTTCTGATCCTTATAATCATAGTCGTAAAGTTTAACAAATAAATAGATCACTCTATATGACTTACATGGAACTGTTTCTTTCAGCTTTTTGCCTGAATTCATCAGTGGAGACTTTGATTCTATTAGGCCTGAAGTCAAAGAGTACTACACTGTGAAGGTAAACTATAAACACTGCCATATTAAAGATTTTGTTCATGCCATTGCTTTTCCTGTGTTCTTCCTGATTTTCTCAGTCCTTATGTGTGGACCGAGTAGCTCTTTGTTTGGTTACTTTTATTTTGTGACAAAAATTGTAGTGTGCATGCAAAATGGAAATTTTATAATGACAAAAAGGCATGTGGTCATGGAGAAGTTCCATAACTGTCACGTAAAGAATCCACTAAGTGTATACAGCTTATATAAATTCACTTAATAATATTTGATTCTTGCCTATATCCTCATGTGTTGTTATACATTTTTCACAAGCAGTAAATTTAATGTGTATACGTTGTTGTATTCAACCAATTCCCAACTGATGTAGATCTGTTTATTTTTATGCATCATAATCTGCACTAAAAGCATCATTCTAAATTTTTCTAACAGTGCATAACTGTATGTTCCCAGAATTTTAAAACCAAAGTATTTTCCTACAACAATTTCCTTGAAACTCTCATTACTCTGTTCTGAATAAAAATATTCATTACAAAGTAAGATTAATAGTAGCCTACACCTTATTAAAGTATTCATTTTATCTCTATTGTTGTGCAAATCTTCCAGAGATCCTTGCCACTTACGAACATAAAAATGATCTAATTGGGGATCATAGAATCATGTAGGAGTGAATTAAGGTAATTAAATAATTCAGAGTTTCACTGGTTTTAGAAGACAATGCAGAGTTTTTAAAGGAAAATTGTAGCACTAGTAATTCTTCCAGCCACAACAGCAGCATCTGTATTATTCTAAATGGCACTGGCAAGTTGCACGTATTTTAAAGATAGAGCAGCTCTCAAGATCATAAAACTTGAAATCCTTTTTAAGGTTGGAGGAGAAATGAGAGCTTCAAAAAGAGAAGAGAGAAAAGCCTTTTTTGAAAAGGACAGAAGGAAATAAAAAAGGAAAAAGGAAAGAAAATAAGACAGAAAAAATGAATGAAGGAAGACCCAGTCCTAGATGGGAAACAGAGGTGGCTGGCCTATAAAGGCTTTTGTGATATGCAAATTCTGGAGTTGGCAGAGAATGTAGATCTGTGCACACCCCATCTGCCCACCAGCTGATCAGACTTCCCTTCAGCAAATGCAGACTGCTCCCAAGTCAGTGTTTGATATTCACGCTCCATTACTTTAACATTGGCACGTTCCTGTTCACTCCCCACAGTCTCACTTCTCATTAACTCTATACCTCAGCCTCACTGGGATGGAAAGCTGCAGCCTGGCTTACAATGCAGAGTTTTGCAAATGTATAGATATTAATCATATTTTTGGGAGCCGAGGAAACAGCGGGAGAGGCAGAGACGAGCATACTCAAAAACAAGTTGAAGATCTGGCCAGATGTGACTTTTCCTGTTTCTTCATGATGCTGGCTTGCCGAAATTGAGAGCACCAGTCTGATCATTCCTGCTCAGGACCAGGAAAGGAGGCGTGAAGCTCTTTGTTTTTCCCTGGATGTAGTAAAATGGAGATCAGGAGTAAAGCAAAACTTTGAGTTAATTCCTCCTGATTAACTTTTCTTATACATATTTCCTGTTTTGTTTGTTTTTAACCTTAATAACCATGTCTTCTTGTTAAGGATTAGTGTTTTTATTGGCACATGTTTGCAGTGCATGCTGTTTACACACCTTGTGAGGAATGGGTATGTGTACGGAGCACACCTTAGTTCCTTTTTATCTCCTTTCTTCCCTCTCCTCTCCTTCCATCTCTTGTTCCTATACCCCCTCTTTTTTTTGTATTAGTACATGTTTGCCTTCCTCGTGCAGAGTTGGTGCCCACATATAACACATTTTAATTTCTTTTCTTATCCCCTTTCTCTCCACTACCTTTCCCTCCATCTCCTGATCCCCTTTCCAACTTCCATTACCTCTCTTTGTCTTTTTGCTCTTTAGTTGTACTTTGGGTTTCACAAATAACAAAAACTATGTGGTATATAAACTAGTGTGTCTGATTTATTAGTTTTTTAAAGTAAGATTAAGCCAAATCTTTGACTGTTTAAAGGGTGTGGAAACTTTTAGGTTGATAGAATGCAATCCATGTTTTACAAATACCAGTGAGTGTTGAACCTGGTGCTCTCAATCTTTTAGGCCATGTTCCTAAGGGCTCAGATGATACCTTTTATAGTTAATGTGCCCTCTAGGGTGCTTGGTGAGTATTTGGCTGTAGTTTCAATAATGATGATAATTACAAGTTAATGCAACATTACACACAATTCGTATAAGCCATTATCTCCAAGTTCAGCATTCTTTAAGTTTCTCTTTCACGAATGAAACAAGGTTATCTCTTCTTTCTAATACACCCTTTCTTCACCTTTCAGTTTCCAGTGAAGCAAAAACTAGGAACATATCAAAGAAAGTGCAGAAATTTAGAATGGATAAAGTTTGTAAAAATCATGAAGACCCAGCAATTAATCATACACAGTGGTGAACTTTGCAACTGGTACACAAACCTTAACTTACTCAAAAAAGGCCTTTCAGGTAGCTGTAAAATTTTTGTATCCTCTTTTTCACCTATTTATCTTTGTTCTTCAGTGCCTAGTTCACTAACATTAATTCAGAATGAGGAATGTCTCCTATAGATATTTCTCTTGGTATTGCATTTTATTCTCCTATTTTTTTTTAACTCTTCCAATTTTTCTGGGTCATTCCATCTTTTTTCTTCTTGTTTTGATTCAAGGCTAAAATCATCTACTTTCATCTTTGTAATTATTCCATTCATTGTGTCCATATGCATTTTAGTTTCCTGAGAATTTTAGGAGAAATTATACTATCCCATATCTCGTAATATTCTTTCTTTGCTTGATAATCTCTGGCATATTCACTAGATATAGGAAAGAGGATTTAATAGCATGCCTCCCGTGCTGGGGAAGTAGCTGTGCACTAGAGTACTTTCTTGACACTCACAATGGTCTGGATTTAACTCCTAGCATTGGAAAACTATGAAACAAAATTAAACAAAACCAAAACCTAAGAGACCTCCACTATGCTTCCTGAGTATTTAGGAGGTTGAAGAACTAGTCATGATGAAGTTATGACATGGCACAAATTTTTCATTCATATAGGAGAGAACATAAAAAAGGTAAGAATAATAGAATCTAAAAATGACAGAAATTAAACAGTACTTTTGCACAGTTTTCTGCCATACATGAAGAAAACTGAAGTGACCAGAAACAAATGGTAGAGCTGTTGGTGATAGCAAACTGCCAGTGTGCCTTTTCTTTTATTTTCTTAATTCAATTTAATTTTATGATAACAAGGTAAAACAAAACTTCATAGCAAAAAATAGGAGAATAACAATAGTAAATGTATTACATGTTGTTACCTTTAAAGTAGTTGCTCAAGAAATATGTGGTCAAAAACCTTTCTCCAACCGTTATTAGCAAACCTTCCTTTTTTAATGAACTAAGAGACAGTAATTGTATAACTGACTTGGATTTTTCCCTTTTCCCTACCGTCCTTTCCCCTTCCACCCATCCTACTTCCTTTTTCCTTTTGAACAATTTCTTCTCAAATCACAAAATCTATTGTACATTTTAGAATCTGCGATGAATACACACTTCTCAGATGAAATACAAATGGCAAATAAATATATGAAAAAATGTTCAGCATCATTTATCATTCAAGAGATACAAATTAAAACAATACCGAGATTCCATCTTGCCCCAGAAAGAATGGCTGTCATCAAGAAATCAACCAATAACAAATGCTGGAGGGTCTGTGGGGAAAAAGGAAGCCTTCTCCACTGTTGGTGGGAGTTTAGACTGATGGAACCACTGTGGAAAGCAGTGTGGAGATTCCTCAGAAAATTAAGGTTACAGGTCCTATTCAACCCAGATATTATCCTTCTAGGTATCTTCCCAGAAGAATTAAAAACATCATACTACAGTGTTATATGTGCACACATGTGTATATCAGGACAATTTATAATAGGTAAATTTTGGAAACAAACCAAATGCCCATCAAACAAGGAATGGATGAAAAAAGATAATGTGTTATTATACAGTGGTGTAGTACTAAGCTGTAAAGAAGGATAAACTTGAGACTTTTAAAGGTAAATAGATGCAACTTGAGACCATACTCAGAAGCGAAATATAGCAGACACAAGTGTAAACATCATATTGTCTCTCTAGTTTGAGAAACTGAAGAGTAAATAGTGTCCATGTTTTCTGTCAAAAGAATTTTGCTGAAGCTTGGACTCAGTTGCTACTACTTCTTCTCAATAGACAGCATCGTTGGCTTTGGAGGAAAATAGTTGTTTCTCAGGTACCACATTCTGAGAATGAATGCAGGTGTCTGCCAACAGTGTGGTAAGGATCAGCATGGCGACGAGATACACTTTTGCATCTCCAACCTGCTAATTCCCCGCATTTCTGGGGCAAGAGTAAAGATACAACAGTTGGGTCAGGTGACAAATGACCAAAACCTTTAAAACTGATAAATTATTAATTAAAAATATTTGCATGATATAAGCTTGACTTACATAGATCATTGAAGAATGAAGGTGATTTGCTAACAGGAAATAGCAAGATGATTTAGGTAATCACTAAGTATAAAGATGTCTATCTTTATGCTGTGAGGCAGTATTTTGCTTTCTGGAAAGTGTTAGGATCACAGAATTATGTTCTAGACAATATGGTAAAACCACACTATATAGTCAGAAGTCAGAGAAAAGACTCTGTATCTAACTTATAATTTTTCCTTCTGTTAATACTGAATCAGTGATCAGAAACACTGGGACACCCAAAGCCTAGTTAGAATTGCAGTAACAAAGACTGAATTATCAATATTAGAATAAACCCTAGTATAAATGGTGAAGTCTGCTAGAGTGGTCAAGTTGATACTGTACCACCAATGTTCAACTATGCATGTAATGAGGTGGTTGTAACATGATAAAATTAAGGATCAGAGAGAGGATCAAGTTAGGTCATATATCTTTCACTATCTCCCTGAATTGAGAAAGATGAGATTTTTAA